GCCGGGGCCCGTGCACACACAGTGCACCCTGTCCAGGGTGGTCATCTCGCCCAGCGCGCAGGCGTAGTCCCGCCACTCGCTCTGGACGCCCACCATGTCCATGCAGTAGGCCCTGAAGACGGAGACCCGCACCAGCTTGTCGCTGGGGCTCAGGAGGAAGCGGGGGGCCTCCAGCAGCACCACCAGGCTGCACTCGGCCGACAGGCTGCGCTGCGCGATGACGTCCAGCAAGGACGGCGGCAGGCACAGCACGCGCGCCTGCTTCACCACGCAGCTGGGGTCGAACAGGTCGCTGCGGTTGGCCACCGGCGGGAGGTCGTGGGGCACGAGGAAGGTGGCCACCAGGGCGTCGGGCTCCATCTGGTCACCGGCGAACACGGACGCCGTGAACAGCAGGGTGACCGGCGTGATGACCTGCACCAGCAGCTCCTTGGGCGTCCGGCAGTCCACCTCCACCCGGAAGGCGCCCATCGTGCGCCCCGCGGAGCGGTCGGACGGCCTGGTCCCGTTGTCGGGGCTCATGGTGAGGTTGAACGTCGTGCGGTTCACGTCCCCCAGGGCGAGGAACACCTCGGCCACCTCGGGCGCCACCTCGACCACCGCCCCCTTGGCGTCGCGGCCCGTCACCCGCATGCCCACCACCTGCGCCGAGCTGTTCTGCCGGAAGCTCAGCCACGGGAAGGGGTTCTTGGCAAACTCGCAGAACATGGCGGAGACCGGGGCGCCGGCGGGCAGGAGGGGGACGGCGCTCGCGTTCACCGTGGGGCGGAAGCAGCTGCCGCGGCCGGCCCCCTGGGTGCAGACCTCGCCCACCTGCCAGGCCTCCATCTTCCGGACGTACATCTTGAGGCTGCTGCTGCGCAGGACGGTGGTCTCGTTCCCGGGCACCTTGCCGGCCAGCACGGTGTCGGCGAGGGTCTCGATCAGGTGCAGGGGCCGCTCGATCAGCTCCCGCCGGGACGGCAGCTGCAGGATGTTGGACAGCCCGGTCAGCACGCCCGTGCACACGGTCTCGATCTGCTCCGAGTGGGTGCTCGTGGTGTTGTGCTGGAACGGGCCCAGGGCCTCGTTGCTCTGCCAGAGCCGCAGCGTGGCCAGCCTCCGCGCCAGGGTGGTGAGCCCCGAGCCCTTCTGCGTCAGCTTGGTGAGGACCATGACCACCTGGCTGATCTCCACCAGGGAGCGCATGGGCAGGAGAAACGTCTGGTTGACCAGGTGCTCCCGGAGCTGGGCCTTGCCGGCCTGCAGCGCGGGCTCGTCCTTCAGGCTGTTGAGGACGGAGGCGATGACGTACGTGAAGTAGCCGGCGGCCAGGTACTCCCGCCTCTGCAGGTGAGTGGCCAGCACGGAGCCGGGGCCGCTGGTGAAGTTGACCAGCTGCTGCAGGAGCGTCTCCGAGGACGCGCCCTCCGTGGGCGGCGGCACCGCGGCCGAGAAGGTCACCCGCGAGAAGGCCCCCAGCACGTCGTACACCTGCGCGTACAGCCGCATGGCGAAGTGGTTGGCCTTGGGGCCCACGGGGAAGAAGGACGGGCGCGACGAGGACTTGGTGCCCAGGTGCAGGATGATGCCCAGGTTGTTCTCCTTGAGGGAGCTGATCTCGGCGAAGCCGAACAGGTCGGCGATGACGATCTTGTAGGTGAGCGGCATGTTGAGGTCGTGGAAGTTGTCGCAGCGCACCACGAACTTGGTGACCAGCGCCACGCCCCGGGGCGGCGTCACCTTGCATTCGCCCACGCGCGGGATGTGGTTGACCACGAAGGCGTGTCGGAAGACCAGGTCCCAGCCGCTCCAGGCCACGACGTGCGCGGACACCCAGAAGGTGGACTCCGTGAAGCCCTGGAAGGCCAGCGCCTTGAAGTGCAGGTACTCGGAGTCCCGGCCCGTGGTGGTGCGCACGCCCCAGTCGAAGGGCACCTCCTGCCCGGCCTGCGTGCGGATGGACCAGCGGTACACGTCCGAGCTGGTGCAGCCCGTGCAGTTGACGAACAGCGAGAAGCGCTCCGAGGTGACCAGCACCGTGTCGCAGTTCTCGATGCAGGCGATGCAGGCCTTGGGCGCCAGCCCGCGCAGCACGTTCACGCGCTTGTCGGCGAACGCCGTCCTGTCCCCCTTCTCCACCGCCATGCGGAAGAAGTACGCCAGGTTCCCCTTGAGCGTCTGCGGCGGCAGGGTCAGCGCCGAGGTGGGCGGCGTCCGCCACTGCAGCGAGGCGGCCTGCCGGGCCACACACACCTCGGCGCTGCGCACGGCCACCTTGTCCCGCTGGAAGTTGGCCTCGTTGGTGGTGCAGTACCAGAAGAAGTGCAGGCCCTCGGCCGGGTCGTCCGCGTCGGGGTCGGAGGACGTGGAGCCGTTGAGCACCAGCCGCTCCACGAAGCTGATGGTGGTGTTGGGGTCCCCGAGGAGGACCGCCCGCAGGGGGCTTTTGCCCACCACCACGTAGACGGCGTCGGACTTGCTCAGGGGGGGCCCGGTGCCCGACTGCACCGTGATGCTGACCGAGAAGTTAAACAGGTACACCCCCCAGTCCAGCGCGTGCTTGGGAACCCGCACGGACAGGCTGTTCTGGTCGATGACCAGGTTGGTGACCGGCAGGGTCTTCTTCCAGTCGGGCACGGCCCCCACGGCCGGCACGGAGTAGACCCGCCAGAGCTGCGTGAGGCTGTGGGGCACTGCGCACTGGAAGCTGGTGGCCACCTGGAGGGTCACCTCGGTCTTCTTGGTCACCTGCACCGGGGACCCCCACTGCCCCGTGTTGATCTTCACCTGGCTGATGACGCAGGACTCCTGACAGGCCACCGCGTGGCCGCTGGCGTCGAAGACCAGGGACGTGGAC